TCCATCTCCTTGCCCCACCCCCACACCTTCCAAGAATGTCCCCACGTGGCCTGCTGTGTTCCTCCAGCTTTATACGGTTTATTCCCACACCCTTTTATTCTTTTAGCCCTAAAAACTATATTTAACTTCTTCTTAAAAACATTCATTCACGTTTGCATCAGGCACAAACCTTGGTCTGGCTGTCTTTTAGAAGGTGGGGACATTCTTGGAAGGTGTGGGGGTGGGGCAAGGAGATGGAGGAAAACTAAATTCAGCAATAGTCCTTTCTCCTGCCTTTTATCTCATAACTTTGGCAGGAAGGTACACCTGGAACTTTGGAGGAGGAAAGAATCAGATTTCACTTGTATATCCTCCCTTGTAATGATAACAAACCTAGGCAGTGGATCTTTTTCCTCTTCTCTTTGCAAGAAGGAAGTTAGGTTTAATGCTGACTTAGCCTTGGGGATGGGGAACCCAGACACTCAAGTTTCCAAACAAAATATTGCACCTCATCTTGTCAGCTCAGAAAACCTGCTCATATCATCAACATCAGGCTCTTTGCCTTCTCAAGAATCGATGGCCAGGTCGAATAATGCCCTCACGGACAGCTAAATTTTGCACCAGTTAGGTCGTTCAGACAATTATATTTCTTCATTGTGTCTATTACTTCATCAACTAACACTGGGCTTGCAGCTTCAGAATGTGGCATGTTCAGTCAGTAGCTTTATAAGTGAGCCACTGCTGCTGGAGTGTGGTGCACTAAAGATCCTGCCCCCACCCCCCCCACCAATCTGATATTGTTTTCATGAGTTTCCTCCAAGTTATATGCAATATGCAGGTGCACTGAAGAAACAAGATGATTATCAGTCGAAGGTTTCGTCCATCTCAGGTGACCTTAAGCCTTGAGACTTAAAAGTTGCTTGACACAGTTAAGTACTCCAAGGGTTGCTCCCACTCAAATATGCACCATTGTGTCCTCACATTTGGCAGGTCTATCCTGCCAAAAAGGGAGAAGATCAGCTCATGGATGGTTATGGAGGAGCTTGGAGCGTAATAGACATCTTTCTGACAGATAGATGCTAGTCTGGTCTGTTGGCCACAATAATCTTGAGCAGTCTCCAAGATGTTGGTAAGGAGGACTGGGCTATTTGGTTGAACAGCACATAGCATTCATCACGATTTGAGTGACTGCTTAATTGCAACAATGAAAACTTTCTTCTGCAATAATCAGCTCATATTGAGTGGCTCAATTGCTCTGACAGGTTAACTTCCTGCAGAAAAAAGGACAAAGTAATGCCTGGTTTAAAACTATGGTATCTAACTTATAAACCTCACTAACTTACAAAACCAGAGTTTTAAAGGTCAAGTCAAAACTAAAAGAAAAGGAATACATGACAAATTTAAAAAGTTGGAATAATTTGGGCAGTAAATTTGTCAAGGTGACTTTAAGCAAGTCCCTTAAGTAAATTTAAATATCATAAATTGCTGTTGAACCAAACTAAAAATATTTATTTTCAATACAAGATACAAAAATACAGCATTCCCCTGAGAATATCACATCCTGCTCAGCAGCTGGAAGAACTGAAAACATTAAAACTTCTCGCACAGGTTAATTTGTTCAAAATACATCCCAAAATTCATTTGATCAGTAAAGTATTTTTATAACTGACTTTAACAAACTCGTAGTAATAATTTCATCTAAATTTCTATTGAAGTAGATAGTCAGGATGTTAGTTGCCTGAAGGCTTTTATTGTTTAAAGCAATTGTTGCACATATTTTGGAATAATGCACTCAAAATGAGTACACAAGCTTTTTATTATGCTGTTAAACATTTCCAGCAGGAAGTGGTCAAGAATACTTTATGATTAACTGTAGAGGTAAATAAAGAAAATTTATTATTTCTAATGAACACATAGGTGAACATTCCAGTATCTACATTCAAATAGGTTCCCTTAATCGTGCACCACGATACAAAGATTCACATAAGACCAACACCTCAGTGCATAGTCAACTAAGATCAATCTCCTGCTTATCATGAATTACAGTAGATTTTTCACGGTCTGATGAGACATGGGAGTACGTGAGCACAAATTATTGAAAATAGTTCAAGCTCAGAAAGTAGTTTAAAAAATACAGGATTTTGACTGTATAAATGGAAGTATTACAAGTACAAAGGCAAGGAGGCTATAAGTTAAACTTTATGAAACACTAGTGCAATGTCAACTTTCTTTCCAATGCTGGCCATGTTTTACGAATGACTTGAGCGCTTTAGAGAGGTACAGAAATGATTTATGAGAATAGTTTCAGGCAGTAACTGTGGTTTTCCTTCAAGGGGAAGCTGAGAGCAGAATTAATAGAGGTGCTCAAAAGTTAGGAGTCTAGTCAAAGTAGATAGAGAGAGAAGTTGGTGGATGGGCCAAGAACAAATGGCATTCAAATAAGATGACTGGCAAAAAAACAAATGAGGAAAATTTCTTTACGCAAAAGATTAAGATCTCAAATGCACCGCCTGTGAGTATGGTGGGGTCAAATCCCATCTTGGCTTTCAAAAGAAAATTGGATAAGCGTGTGAAGACAAAAATATTTCAGGGCTACAGGGAAAGAGCAGGGGAATTTAACTAGTTGAGAATTCTTGCAAGGACACTATGGGCCACAAAACCTCATTCTTTGCTGTAACCATTCAATGATCTTACATTTTACTTTCCTTTATTTCCATGGTTCATTGAAAAGGAAAAATTAGGATTCTCAATTATTCATCGTTGTGTTATTCACAGGAGTGGAAATGGGTTGGATTATGGTAGATAATAGCATTTATATACTTTTTCAAAAATCAGTTCTCTCCATTTTGCATCTTCCTATTTCTGTTTATAACCACATACTAGGGGTTTTGCAAAAGCAGTTGTTTCCTTCCTTCCTACGTAGTACAGCCCTTCCTAAATGACATGCGCAATTGTTGTCCGAGTTCTTAAAAAAAAAACCCAGGATCAGCAATTTGCTGACTTGTTGCAACTCTATAGTTGGCATGGAGTACTCCTAAATTAGGGAGGAAGCTAAACAAAAACAAGCAATGTTTTTTCTCTTGATGGTCAATTTGGTTTCTCCTATAAAAGTGCATGTGCGTGAACTTAGTAAAATCGCAGGCCTACCCCTACGTGGTCAAAGGGGAATTACATTAATTTAGATTAACATGAGCCTAAAGTTGCCTTCAGTGGACTTGGTTTTTGAAGGCATTGTCCAAACCAAAAGCTTTTTCTGCTCTTCTCAATGTTCCCCAAACCTGTTCCACAGGCATCAATTCCTTGCTGGCACAACATATCCACCAGTAAGTTAACTAAGACGCCATAAAATAGAAACTATTTCAAGCACTGGCACAATTACCTCCTATTATATGCCCCACCAGGTATCCAATTCCACTCCATTCTGGTTTGGTCCATACTGTTCCCTAAAAACCAAATGCCACTACAGGCCACAAAACTCAGACAACTCAGTCAAATTTGTGCTTTTACTTTTTTTTATTTGTTTAACCTGAAATTCAGTATGGATATTTGAAATATTCAGATATTATGAAAGTGTTGTGTGTGATTATTGATATGTTTTAGAGTTTTATGTGAACAAATAAGGCCAGAACAAAAGCAGAGAGAATTGGTTGACAATCATGTCTTTACAACTTAATAATGCTGATAATATTAGAAAAGGATGATTGCAACTGGCAGACTTGGAAGTTAGGACGGCATTTTTCACCCAGAGCACGGAGGGGGTCTGGAACCCTCGACTTCAAAAAGGGTGACAGAGGCTGAAATTTGTGTTATATTTTTAAAAAAGCCTTGGATAGACACTGGAGGTGCTGTAATCTATAAGATAATGAACCAAAAACTACAAGTATGGATAAGGCCAAATGGCTCCTTTTCTCAGCAGTAAGTCGCAATGGGGCACATTGTCTCCTTTTGATCTGTGAATCTATATTTCTATGAATTTCAGAGCCAAGGACATTGTACTGTGTAGATAAGAACACAAATAAATAAGCTGGGTGTGGTATTATTACCCCTAAAGAATTAAGACCTAATGACAAATCTTAAAAATGCAGTCATTTTATTTCAGCAGTAGTGTGAGAGTTGGAC